CTCAAGACTTCGTTAGCTGTTGTAGGGTTTCTTTTGGGCTTTTTTTTTTCAAGAGTTTCATAACATGCAAGGAACTTTCCATTTTATGTAAAACAACAGATTTCACAATTGAATCTGGATTTAATTTATAAGCGCAGATCACATACTGCACACAATACAGCACATATTGAAAACATCAGCACAATTGTACACACTGATCTCTTTTTGTCAAATGTTTGACTCCTGTCATTGTGGTGGACACTTGGCCTCAAATAATCACTCAGACTGCTATCATGGCAGCGTAACTGGAGCTATGTAACAATTTTCTTATAGCCACCAAAGTGTCTGTTTATGTTACATATCGAAATCGAATCATCTGTGTCTCCCATCTTATCAGACACACTTATGTAGTGGATAAAACCTGAAAGATCTCAGTTAGTCATCCCTGCAGAGAAAAGTAACTGAATTTCTCACTGCGCACATACGTTTTTAGAATGTTGGTCTCACAGTCTCACAGTTCTCTCATGTCCTCCCACTCAGACTCTCTCTGGCAACTGCAGTCCTCCAACTACGATCATGGACAGTTTTGGCAGTAAAACAGAAAGAACATGAAGAAGCTGATACTATTTGTGTTGGATATTAGGAAGCGTCTAATAGAAACCAGATGTTGTTTATGCAAAAGAGAATATGTCTCCAAGTCTCCAAGCTTGATCTGGTGATGAGAACAATGAAAGGACAGAACTTCATTTTCTGGAAATGATGTTGTAACAAGGGTTTGCTTTTGTAGGACGGGAACATTCAGTTCATTAAGTAGGTGAAAGTTTAAATACTGTGAGAAGAACTCAGACAACATCAGAGATTATTATCACTGTCATTATCTATCATTATGACTATTATTGCGCTTAACATTTACAGTTGAAACCAGAAGTTTACATACACTGTAAAAAAAAAAAAAAAAAGACACATAACCTTTTTTTTCTCACTGTCATTAAATCAGACTAAACTTTTCCTGTTTTAGGTCAGTTAGGATTACCAAAATTGTTTTTTTTTTGCTAAATGCAAGAATAATGGGAGACAATTATTTAGACATTTTTTATTACTTTCTTCAAAGTCAGAAGTTTACACACACTAAGATTACTCTGCCTTCAACTATTTGGTAAAGCCCAGATGATGATGTCATGGCTTTGGAAGCTTTTGATAGGCTAACTGACAACATTTGAGTTAACTGGAGGCAAACCTGTGGATGTATTTTAAGGCAAACCTCAAACACACTGCTTCCTTCTGTGACAACATGGAAAATCTAAAGAAATCAGCCAAGATATCAGGAAGAGAACTGTGGACCTCCACAAGTCCGGCTCATCCTTGGGTACAATTTCCAGATGCCTGAAGTCTGATTTAATGTCAGACAGGAAGAAAAAAAAAAAGGTTTTATGTCTTTTTATACAGTGTACCTAAACTTCTGGTTTCAACTGTATATTAATAAGTGAATGCATATGTAGTATCTAAATTATGAATGAAATTATGAATTATTAAACATATGACTGAAACGTCATAATTAACACAAATGAATACTTTTCTCCACTGCATCATCTTTTTATTTAACCATGTGCACTGACGGGTTTGGTGCAATGCTGTGCTTTGTCTTTGTCCAAGCAGAGAGAGCGTTCATATTCAGGTATGCTCATCCCTAACCCACTGCATACAAACACTCACTCAGTCTTTGCCACTATTCCATTGTTCCCAACACTGGCAAATTCCATTAGAGTCATTTTGAAAGGTGCTGAGTGCTAATGGTGCTCTTCAGAAAACAACATGATGGGGACGGGGCTGATTAATGTAGAACACAGATTTGGAGTGTGCATTTTAGTGCATGTACGTTATGTGTAAACGTGGATCAAAAGCAGAAAATTCATTTTTTTTTTCACACTTAAGACGCTTTTAGTGATTCACCGTGTCATTATTCTTGCAGAGCACATATGAATTTTGTGGGTGTGTGTATGTGCCACATGCATGCCTGCAAACAGCTATTCTTTACTCTTCACTGTGTACCAACCAATAGAACATCTTTGGGGTATTTTAAAGAGAAAGGCAGATCACTACAACTCCTCCTGCAGAGATTAGCTGAAAAAAGATCATTTCTGAATGAGAATGGAGGAACATCTATCCAGAAATTTGTGTACCACTGATATCCTCCATGGAAAGGAGGATTAAGTCTCATCGAAAAAGGAGGGCATACAAAGTACAGAAAGAATACAAGGATTGAATCTCAGATATGAAAGGTGTACTGACTTTGTTGTGTTGAGTTCCTGCTGTTGGGCCTGCATTTCCAATATAACAAATCTTACTCTAAATAAAGCTTATTCTAATTACAAACACTGTGTTCGGCTACACCAGAGGCATTACCACATCAACTGCCCTCTCAACCATTCCTGTGACCTCCATATAAACCCCCAAAACAGCATCACCAGTTCTGCTCTACAAACATGGCCAAAATAGCCCTCTACCCATCACACACAATTAACCTCAGCACAAAAGTACCCTCATTGCTGCTTGGAGTACATAAATAAACAGGTGCAAGCAAACCAGTGTTAGTTGGTGGTCCCTCCCTGCTCAAATCCCATCTACTTTTTTTTGAGATAAAAAGCTTTATGAGAGCGTTTATTGAGTAGGCCATTACCCACAGCTGCAAAGTGATCGCAAAACATGTCAGTGACTGTTCAGACTTCCACATTGTGCAGTAATAAATCAAAGCAGCATGTTGCAGAATTAAAAGAAAAACTCAGCAAACTTTCTGAGGAAGTGCTGAAAGCAAAAGTCTAATTGTTTATCAGCTGGACATGTCAACACACTGAAACAGCTTTTAAGTTTAATGTTCACCAGCTGAATGTGTTTAAGCTGCAATATCAGTCTTGTAGTCAAATGCATGCATATGAATTACATTATTTATTTTGTGGAACTTTTCAAATGAAGGGAAGCATCTTTGACATATTGCCACAGATAATTAAAAAAAATCATCTTGCCTCATACAGTGCTGTGAAGAAAAACATTTGTTCTGTTGAGTTCTTCAGTTTTTCTGATTATTTTCTACTAAACTTCAAACGAAATCTAGTATCAAACAAAGGCAACCTCTGTAAACACAGATTACAAGTTAGTTGTTTTTTTTTTTCCAATAGTATTTTATTTTTTACTTAACAGTTGTTTCACTTCAAGCAGCCAAACCATTCGTTTTTAGTGGAATTTCAACCCACACTTCTTTGCAGAAATACTAGAGCAGCTATTTCGGAGGCTTTGCGAGTATGAACTGTTCTTTTCAGGTCCCACCACAGCATCTCAATAGAGGTTCAGGTCAGGACTTAAACTAGGCCACTGCAAACGTTATGAGCCTTTTAAACCATTCTGAGGTGGACCTAAGTCTAGCTCACATCAGAGGAGATATCTGGCTTGGGATCCTGGTCTAATGTTTTTCTCAGATTGTTTGACAACGTGAGGGATTTACAGATCCACAATTGGGGCTGTCCAGATAATGTGTGATATTTGGGGAGTTAAAATTGGAATTTGTTATCATGGGATAAGCAAAACACATTAAAACTGCTTAAAATCTCCCCTCCATATCTCACTGAAGAATACACAACCCATGTTGATTGCATCTTCACAAACATTTCCTCATCCAGACTCATTTAGCCTTCTGTTTGTTTTGTCTTATTACAAGGTATTATTAACCTTAGAGCAGGTTTTTCTACTGCAGTCTCCATTCTGTTTACATCTGTTTCCCCATGAGACCACACAAGGAGAAGCTCTGCTCTCCAACCATTCCCTGTCATATGACAATCTTAACAATACCCTGCAGTGTGTGTTGCACCATTATTTTCCAGTCTTGTATTGAGTGCATGTCTGACATTAGAAAGAAGTTTCTCCATGTGTCTGATGCAACCCAATTTCAAAATCAGTTTTAAGAGCCCTGTAGTGGGAGCTAGACTCAGTCTTATGCCTGAGATCACTGTTTTGCTGTAAAACCCAGTTGCACTTGAGCTTGAACTAACTGACTGATGACCTGACACTCTCCTTCAGTGTTCTCTGTCAGGGGTGATGTGAATGAACAGGGCTGCTAGTGTTCAGGCCTGGGTTTGTCTAGTCCAGCTGCAAACAGGTAGCAGTGCAGTTTGGTAAGCTTTTTTGGGATAAAGTAACTAAGTAGGTGAACACTCATTCACACATGCCATGTTGGTGTTAGGGCTGCAAGGTGGCGCAGTTGGTAGCACTGTTGCCTCGCAGCAAGAAGGTTGCCGGTTCGCGTCCCGGTGGGGGACCGGAATCTTTCTGCGTGGAGTTTGCATGTTCTCCCCGTGCAGCGTGGGTTCTCTCCGGGTTCTCCGGCTTCCTCCCACACAGTCCAAAAACATGTTGAGGTTAATTGGTGATTCTAAATTGTCCGTAGGTGTGAATGTGAGTGTGCTTGGTTGTCTGTCTCTAAGTGTAGCCCTGTGATAGACTGGTGACCTGTCCAGGGTGTCCCCTGCCTTCGCCCTAAGTTGGCTGGGATAGACTCCAGCCCCCCCGCGACCCTAGTGAGGATTAAGCGGTGTATAGATAATGGATGGATGTTGGTGTTAATAAGTACAATTATTATTTACAACTTTTAATTTGTGTGAACACATGTTGGCTTCATTTTGTTAGATTTTGTCTAAAGATCTGATACAGATTAGCATGAGACAAACACAAAACAAGCCTTCGCCCTAAGTCAGCTGGGATAGGCTCCAGCCCCCCCGCGACCCTAATGAGGATTAAGCGGTGTATAGATAATAGATGGATGGATGGAAACACAAAACAACAAAAAATCAGGAGGGGGTCAAATAATTTTTCACAGCATTGAATGTGATCTTGAAGAATATGTAAAGGATCGTGGTAGCAGAACGACTGCTGATTATGGACTACGAATTAATCTCCCAATGGTTGGAAAAGTCTGTTCTTGTAAAAGTTCATATCTAAGATGCAGCATTGATTGAACAGAAGTCCTGACTTACGCTCACGGTTGGGGACACTTGTCCTCTTGTCTGCCCGCCCACTCAGTCGTGACACCAAGCGACCTGATGAGAAACAAAGAGAACAAATAAACAATATTACTATGGAATCAGTTTCAGCAAACAAATATTCATTCACAGGTCAGTTTAAACAGACGGCTTCACGCCCCTCATTGAATTACTCTAAACAAGCGGTGGTTGCATCAGACTGCAGGTCATACAGGCTGGATCCCTGAGCAGGTCATGGTGAATAATAACTATTTGTAGCTGAACCCTCAGAGACACAGTCTGCAGTAACTCAGAAGAGACAACAGAAGTCAGATGTGCTGGCTGCTCATTAGTCTTATGGCCTGAGCACAGGAAGAAACAGAAGATACAGTAATGCAGACAGTACACACACACACACACACACACACACACACACACACACACGCCTCAGGACTGTCTGCTGAAGTGGTATTTCTCCAACTGTGTGTTTTCGCTTTCAAAGAGCTTGTCTGTATGCCAGCTGCTGCCCTTAGGATCACAGGATGCTCTTTCTTTTTGTCCTTCTCACACATACTGTACACTGAAACACAAACTAGCGCGCAGTCTGCCTGGAGGACTGTGGAAAAGCCTCTATGGGACAACAAAAACACACAAACACACTCTTGTTATCTCCAATACAGTTTGTGCCGTAATGACACAATGCTTAAATCAATACAATAACACAAACTACAAGGAAAATTACACCTGTCACATACACCTATTATACTTATAGAGCTAAGGTCTGGGACGGATAGGAGAAAATGCCCATCTCCAAACACTGCACGTCCACTGAATAATAGATGTATTTCTAGGTTTAGCAACACACTTAAAAAAGGTGACTGTTTGGAAAATGTTCCAATAAATTGCTGTGAATAAGAACTTTGTGTCCTCTGATGCAGCTTACAACAATACAGTTATAAGGCTGAGTGTGCTTATCGTGTTTTTTCACCTGGTTTTTACATTTTTTAAATCTTTTTTTAACTGTTCCTGATGAGAGAGTTTGTGCAGTCATTTCTACATTTCTATGCAGGCTAGTACACTCTGATAATATGTTATAGAATACAAAAATACACAAAGTAGTACAACTGTGTACTGTATTATATGCTTTGTGTGTTATTCAGATGGAGGCGGAAACTAAATACATTATCTCATCACACAGGTTATAGAGAGAAGTCTGGCAAGTAACATCCTACTGTTTTAACTAAAGAAGTGAATATGTTTAAGGAGAAACATAGTTTTTAATGCCACCACATAGTTCATTAATATTTTACATAACGTGTGTACCTTATTTTGTATGCTATGAAACTTATTTTACATTATGCATGTGTGAATATATATATACATGTATGTATGTATCTATCAGTGTACTCAGCTGCAGTGTGGTTGAACCCTAGTGCTACATCATCCTTAAATCAAACAGATGACTATAAGGTTCATTCAATATGAGTTTAAGCTTTAGTATACCCGATCTGACGACAGTACAGCACATATCGAACATCTGGGGGAACAATGTTTAACTGGGTTAAGTGCATTGCCAAAGGGCACAGTAGCGGTGTGTTCCACTTGAGGAGAATGTGCATGTGAGTCTTCAGTACTGAGTAATACTACAACTGTATACACGGCAGAGCCTCTCGTTTTCATCTTGTTTTAACAGCAGCACCGTCTAAGCAGCCCTGAGGTTCACCCAACTGCATTCTCTTTGAATGCAAACTGACCTGACTGCTGCAACAACACTACATCAAAAAATGACAAAAATTTGAAAAATTGTGTTTTGGCTCACTGGTTCACAGCAATGATTGACTGTTAGGTCACTGTAGATAAGCTGGAAGAAGGACTGGGTGAGGCGTGCTTTTAGTTTTACTTCCAGAAGTCTTGGAGTAACACTTACCTACTAGTCTAAAGATAAACAAACATTCAACATTCAAACATTTTAGTTTTACGTTGTCCTAAATAGGTTTCACCATTACAACCATATCTGTATACAAGACTGTTCTACCATAAGAAATAACCATTTGGTTGTTTAACCAAGCAGCTTATTACCATTAGTTATATTTAGTTGTAAAGCCGCCTGACACAGTCATCATGTGACAGCATCAGTTTCAACAAATGCTCCAAAACAGCACATGCACATACATGTTCAATTAACAGTGTCTACAGGCAGGGGAGATTATGTCAGGAATGGAAAAGGAGAATGTCAGGCAGCACTGTTACTGGGCTACGGTGCTGGGAGGATGTCAGAGTGGATGGATGGGTCAGCAGAACACTGGACTACAAAATGGGAGACTGAACCTCTTTTTCAGACCAATTTTCTTTTAACAAGGACTGTTCCTTAGTCGTAAAGGTAGGGATGGCAGAAATGTTAAAAAAAAAAAAAAAAGACAGAAAGGATACTATTACTCTTTAAATACTCCTCCCTCTTGGCTCTGCGTCTTAAGCCCTTCCCACCAAGTGGGCACAGATGTATGTAGGACACACAGGATTCAGACATCACTCTCCTGAGTGGACGTTTACCAACCAACCCATTGTACCACCACATCTCATTGTTGCTGTGGACTTTAGTTTTTTTACTGTCGCACCTGATCTGGGTGAAAAGACCTGTGATAGGCCAAAACCTACTGTCACAAGCTACAAATTCTACAGCTTGAAAATAGAGCCAAAATAACATGGAGAAGTCTTGTTTCTTCTCAGATGTCAATTACAATATGCTGAAAGGGTATGAAAGTCCAATGACACCAAAAAATTCTGCGTATTCAGCTTTAAACACTTGATGAAATCTAACCAAGTTCTCTTGCATCTAAACCTAATCAAATCTTTACTGTAGGATCAAAACTGAAGAACAGGATCCACTTGTAAACATGCTGTGCTTCCTCACATGCTATAAATAGTAAATAAAAGAGGAAAAAAAGGTGCTCTGAATGTGTGATGTGAATAAAGAAACAGATGTTGTTGATGCTTTCCATCAAACACACCCCAGTGTAGCTCTCTGTCCTGCTTTCAACAGCCTAATGGGACAATAAGAAGTGTGTGTGTGTGTGTGTGTGTG